AACGATCACCATGTCGCGCGCGGCTAAAACATCCTTTTTCCCTTCCAATTGAGATGCGACCCGGCGATGATCATCCTCGGCTGCCACTAAACTAACCAAGGCCCTGCCAATGCATGCCTTAGCATAGCTCAGCTTGTCAACGCTGGATAAAGAGGAGACCCCCACTTCGGATTTGGGGTCCCAAACCATCAACGGAACCCGAGCAGCATCTCTCGCATTCTCCGGCATTTCAATTCTCGATGACATATGTGGGGACTTCACCGACAAAAAAGTGGTAAACCAATCCTCCACAACACCCTCAGGCACCTTAACTCTGGCAGCCCGTTCCTCATCAATTGATAAAAAAGACTTCTCAAACAAAGGAGAATCATCCGTACCTTTCTCAGCCGCCTTACGACCGGAGTCATGCTTTTTCTTAGACCTTTTCTCTACTCCGGACGAAGCACCGACGTCCGCCATCTTCACCAGTTTCTTTTTCTTCCTCTTCTCTGGCTGCTCCAACTCAAGCGACTTCGGGGAAACTGGTGGCACCTCGGCATGAGCAACCTCAGTAGTAATCATCTCGGTCCCAGCTATGATTGGCTCTGGATCAGCTTGGTTAATCGCCACAGCCTCCACTACCGACAACACTTCGGTAGTCGTTACCTCGGGCACGGACTTCGGACTTTCCGGCATGGCAGCCGAAGTGGCACTTGACCCCACCTCGGTCGACTTCTTCCCAGCATTCTTTTGACCAGCTGTCTTTTTCACCAACGCGCGAACAAGATCCCTCCTCATAGCGTCGGTTAATCTCAAATCACGACTCTTACCAACTTTGGATTGAAGATCTCTATTCGGAAATTTACGCCTGAAATCCTTGGCTTCCTTGACAGAGTTGTAGCCCAGAAAACCGAGGAGAGGATAATACACTGCATACCGACAAAGGGATCAATAAGTTACAAACAGCTGTTCCATATATACGAAAAATTCAACAACATATTTACTGGTTAAAATTCTCTTACCGGGGTCAAACTTCGATGTGGTGACTCCCAGAGACAAACCGGCCGCTTCAAGTTTCGAGTCTATTACGAGCTTGCGATAATCCCTCTCTGCTTTATCCAAACCGGCCAAAGTTATCAACTTCCCACCGAATTCCGGACTTAACTTCGGTTCTTTTTGCTTCGTCTCTTTTTCTACAACAGAGTAAAAGTTCCGACCTGTTAGTACACAGAACAATACCAAAATCAGAGAAGTATATCCGAATTGCAAAACAGATAAAATAAACTCACTGGCTCCAGAATGAATTAACATGGGAATTGTCATCCCATCAATTCGGCGCTCATGAAAGAAGTCCACCGACTGCCACTCTCCACCGATCCACAACCACTCCTCCTGGAACCCGTGGAGACTTTCCGTAATCTCAGTCACTATTTCCCCAACTTTAACACCATGTTGCGGTTTCGCCCCGGCAAAAAAGCAACAAGAAGACTCGGCCACCCTCCTCTTCGGACTTTGTTTAAACGCGAAAATGCTTTTCATCTCATCGCACGAAGGAAGTCCCTCACCCCTCTCGTGCAGCAAAACCATCAACCCGATTATCTTTTTC